GTCTTATACAAAATCACTTTCTGTACATTTGCATGTAATGTCAAACAAGCATATACAAACAATTAACATTAAATAATTATCGAGATTTTAACCTAAATATATGATTGCATTAATGCCGTGATCATGAAACATAATAGTATCTTTTCTTGTTTTGTAACATATTTAATACATGGCTGTGTGCCATAAATGCCCAAAATAATAACTCGTATTGTTTATTTATTGTTTTTTTAGAAGTATTCATACCTGACCATTGCAATAAATGGCATGTTTTCTTTCTGTTATTAAAGCCTGCCACCAAGAAACATTAATTTTATGAGTATAAATCAATGTAATAATTTGTTTTGTTTTATTCTAGGTCAATCAACACATGTATTGTCCATATCGAGACACGCTGGTATACTGACAAAACGATGCAGAAACCGTTGGCTTGTTGGTTATACCTTGATACATAATCCATCATTAGCACTTTCAAGAACATTTCAACGACAAAAACAAAGTGACAATGCGTTCAACCCTGTTCGGTTCAATAATTATATTTGCTAACTACATAAGCCACGCGACGATTTTATAGCATTTGAGTATTCTTTTGTATAGGACGTCACGTACCTTTACCAGTAATTATCTTTGTAAATAAAATGAATAAAACAGTCAAGATTAAAGTACAGTGTCCGCGAAGTGCTTTGCAGAACGTAATGTATTCATCGAAATATAAAGTACTATGTATTGTACGGATGGAGTACAAAGTGACGTTGTACATAATAGACAAAATAATATTTATTTCATTGTGTAAGTTGGATATGGCATGAATAGCTAATCATATCGTAACATAATTCAGCTTACACTGTTACCTTTAGGTGATATCGGAAAGTGAAATAATACAATCTACAGTGAAAGGATCTTAGACATAAGACATATTGCTATAGATGTTAGTGCAAAACGTTCCTGGTATAACGAAAAATCAAAAGTTATTGTAGTGCCATGTTCACATGTTTATATTATAATAGTACTTTATTCTTCAAGTGTATTACAAAGACAAATTTAATATGTCTCCCTCGGTTATCTAGCGTTGAACGTCTCTTATGTGTACCAAACAATAAGTCAGGTCTTAGCTGAGCAATGTTGAAAGCTTATGTACTTGACGTGTTTGCACCATTTGTAATTAAGTATACGTGTACCGGGATTTTCGTGTTAGACAATTCAGGAAAGATGTTTTCCATTTCGGTAAACTGAGAAGCGACGGATGTCAACTGCTTCTAGGACGAATATGATTAAACAAATAAAGGTGATAGCATATTTATTATAAAGAAAATGTTATCAGTAACATTGAACAATTACCAAGGGCTACCTTTACCATTTTCTATGTATTATATTATGCTAGCACGTGGGCCAAAACTTGTATTATGTACATTTCTACTCTCAGTTATTTTATTATATTATATTTTACATTTCGAATTAGATGTCGGTTGAAACGAATGTCATATTTCAATATCAGTATGAAGAAAATACCACAACTAATTGTTATTTCTACCCATCAAAGCAAGTAATAACAAATTAGAATAACAACACATAAATAAATACACAAGCAGCCTGTCGGCTGAGATAGCTCCGCTGCTAGCAATGACATTTCAAATAAAGAACTGAAGATATCACTAAAAATGAACAATACGTATAGTATCACGGCAATCAGACTTGCGTTTTTTAAAAGTCAAAAATATCACTTTTTACCAAAAAAGACAAAAATATTCACCACAGTTAGAGAATTGAAGATATCATCACGAAATGAACAAATCTGAAAGAGGTCTAGCTGAGGTACGTATATGTATAGTATCAAAGCAATCAGGCTTGCGGTTTTTTAAAAAGAAGTCGAACTTATCAATTTTTACCCAAAAAACAAACATATTCATTAAAATTAGAGAATTAAAGATATCATCACAAAATGAACAAATGTTGTACCTATATATGTAATATCAAAGCAATAGGACTTGCGGTTTTTAACAAGAATGACAAAAATATTCACCAAAAATAGGGAATTTTTGACATGAAATGAACATATCTGAGAAAGAACCATCCATTTGCATATCAAATTTGAAAACATTCTGACTTGCGGTTTCGAAGAAGAAGCTGAAATTGTAAAGTTGGCGACGACGGACAATCAGTAATATGAACAGCTCCGCTGTGTCGACTTTGTCTACAGCGGAGCTAAAAAATTGTTTAAAGATTACAATAACAAGTAATACACCTCATTTTCCATTCAACTTCTACAAATGAAAATCATAATTCAGGAATGTATTTCATCACATATACCTGTACATAATTACACAAAAAGGCTACATTTCATATACTATAACCCGCATATTAACAAGAGCCTCATCATTAAATTTCCGATGGTCAAATGCATTGAAGCATTATAATGCCAAATCAATGTCCACGTGATGACAATCTAACGTTAAAAGTTTTGATGCACCTATGAAACGCTTCTTCTCTGTTTTGTTTTTGAATGATTTGCAGTGTATTTGTGTGTTTTGAAGTCTCATTTATTCTCAGTCGTTGAACATCATACAGTTAAAAGTGTACTTTTGATATACATATGTATACATATTGACATCATCTTATTTCATTAATGTTAATGCATCGTACAGCAACATCAACAGAATAATGAGATAATTAGATAAATATAACACAACACAATCATTAGTGATTTCCGTACTCAGCATTTTTCCCCAGAAATGTTCTGACATATACTATTAATAACTCGACTTGTCATGTTGAATTGTGCATGCAACATTCACAAAAGTTATGGAAAGTATTGCCTAAGGTAAGGCATCATTTACTGTACACGTTGAAAACCGAGGCTGTAAATAATTTTATATGACAAATGTGGACGAGAAGCAGTCAATTAGGCCCATGGAATAAATGGATAATAATCATGTAAGTATACCTTGTCCATTGGATCATCAACTTCTGGGTGTGTCGTTTCGCTCACCTGCTCAGAAGTAGCAAGAAGACTTCCGTTGAAGTACACTGAGAGTTCTTTCATTGGTTCACGTGCATGAATTCTCACTTCAATGGCTGCAATTCCTAAATATATAGATTCTCAGTAAATCATAAAATAAATAAAGGTGTCATGACACAACCTTTTCACTATTGTATCAATATCTGTATCAATAATTCCAGAATTTTTTGTCATAACTATTGCAAGATAAATGTAACGTTTCAATGTTTGTAATAAGTAATAAGAACAATGAGAATTATTCACTAGTGAAAATCTACGCTCACATACCGTTACTGTAAAAATAGCTATCATTTATGAAAACATACATGACTAATATATTATTTTGTCTATGTAACTTGGCAACATTTTCTTGATTATGATTCAACTTACCATTTGCTATAGCATTTATCACGTGCGAGTGCTCGGTGCCTAAAAACAACGTAGTATTCCAACTTTTTAGATACGGAATTGGATCAGTACCACCACTTATTGTTGCACGCTTAAATGTCAAACCTACAATTACGCATACGAATATATGAACTAGTAGAGTAGCAATAGCAACTGATCAAATGTATATGTGATATTGAGGATATTGTAGTATATTTATATCTATTTGATATTTGCAATGCCCCTAAGGTGTTTGATTTGTTTAGTGAAATAACAGGTATTCAACATTGTTTTGTGTATCCAGCTAGAATTAAAGATTGGCAAAATGAAGCATGATGTAATGTTGTATAGAATTTAGAAATATAGTCGTATAGATCGCAACATAGCATAACTTCCTTGTAGATTTTGGGTTAGATTACCATAGAACTTGATTGAGTTGATGAATCGTACTATTGTATGCTCCAGCTGTGTAACGACCAAAATAAAAACGAACAATTCTTCACGATCAGGGTGTCTAATTGATAGGTGTTGATTTATCTTATTTAATGCCTGGAAAAATGAATTGATATTGACATAGGTTAAACAAAGTAACATTGGTTCAATTATAAAACGGTTAACAATGATATAAGCTTAATAAAAGTTCTCGAATAACCCTCACGAGTTCGAATGCTTTACCAGGCGTACATGGTGTGTATTCGTGTTCCTCGTGGTACTTAATAAGAAACGATGCTGAATCCTTGTCTTCCAGTATTCTATTTTCTTCAGACAAATCAAACAAAGCACATGATGACACTGCAATAACAATTCGTTTTTCGGTGCGCTGAAACAAACACGTAAATGTCATTTATCGAATATTGACACGTGAAGACAATACAGCACCAATGTCACAGAAGGTAGAGTGTATACAATATTCACACAAACATTTTTGTCCGAGTCTGAGCACAATCTCATACTAAAAATGTTTAGGTCAATGAAGATGTATTTTAAATACCTTTGCCATCTTGTATCACAGAGTCAATTTGTTCCCAATTATCTGATGTATGTTTTTTTTATTATATAGCTGATTATTGTTTTGCATAACAATGCATTTCACTGAGCCGATGTTTTTGAAAAATCGGAACTGTATATTATGTCTACTGATATAAACTGCGTGTTAAGATACATATGCAAGCGTGAGAAAATGTTTTTTTACATAGGTTAGATGATGACAGATTTAGATTCACACTGTTAACATTTCGGAGCTCATAAGTGGAACATACTACAAAAAAACAATTCATTTTTTAAAACGTTCTGTTCAATTTGCAAAAAAAATTAAAATTACAAATTATAAAAGTGACGCCATAATCGGGCTGATTATGTGAGAGCTATAGTTATAATGTACTATTTCAATTCGATACTCCACATTCGATTTACACCACAGAAAGATTGAACTGCTGCAGACACTACCAACATCCCACAAAATGACTCAGTTAAACTCAGCCCATCTAATTATATTTTGCATTCCTCCTTGTCGCAAAATGCACTCTCGCGACAACTTTGTCAAACGATTTTGGTATGTAATAACAAAGTTACAGATATCGTACTTAAAATACAAATCAGTTGCGGGAAGCAATATTTCATAATGTCATCATATCATTTTGTCCACGTAAGAATTATTGAACGCGGTTTTATCCTACCGTTGGTAGAATATTGGTATAATTATTTTGTGATATGATGAGAATATTGTTAAGTCTAGTCATTTCAAAGCAGACCATTCGTATTTTGTCTAATGTGGCTAATTTGATACTATTTTGCATATAATTAATGATCCAAATGTGGAATGTTATGAACATGTTATAAATACTTGCTTTATTGGTATAAAATAATGAACGTAAGGCGAATTCATCATTATTTCTGAGTATCTACAATGGTTAGTCGTTTTTGGACAAACGAGTTTGAATTGCATATACATTTTCATCTATTGTTAGCGTTACGTAACTATGATACGAACATGACACGTCTTTCATTTTAAAAGGTTTGATTCATTTTTATATATTAATGTATAATTATTATAAGTTTCGGTAATTATTTTTATAGGCCAAAATTAACAACATCGTGATTGCAGTTTCTTCGAGGGCTCTGTTTGACTTGTCAGTTGAACATGAAGTCTACAACACTGGCGGCATTGATGCTTTCGTGACTTACCAGTCCGAACACGTGTCTGAGCCGTGTAAACCTGGTACAGCATACTTTCCATCTATGTAGAATGTGGTAGTCATTTCATTTCACTTGATTCAGCAGTAGTAGACCAAATAATCAATATTTTATATCTTTCTATTATTGCATGATATCTGAAACGGCATGTGAAACAAACCAAGATCAACCGAACAGCACATGTTTTGGCAAGGAATTCACGATTCATCTAAGTGCTGCAAGAGCGTCCACTGCCTAAAGTTTAGAACACCATGATGTTTGAATCCGTCACCTAACATAATCTGTATCTAGCACCTTTGGACGTGCGTAATATGTCTTGTTATTGTAGTATGAAGCGGTATACGCAATCATTTTAAAGGAAGCTATAAATTTCGATTATTTTATAGATTTGTTCAGAGACAATCAAACATCTCGTCTTCGCATTCCATGCGGATATAATTGGAACTAAAAATTGCCGTGAAAACATGAAACAACAATAAAAAGGCCAGGTTTGGCAAGAAAACAAAATTGCACAATAATTCAGAATGAAGGGCAATGTTCAAATGGTGCAGTGCTAAACCATAAAAATAGTTATACCAAATACAAAATTTAAAACTGCTTAAATTCCTGTTTATTTTGTAATATCATAGTGTCCAAATTTCAAATCAAATTCTTGGATTTAGAGTTGGCAAGACCATGCGGCGTGGATTTCATCAATTCCAAAATATTTAACGACTCTCATTTTGAACACTGTCTTCATTTGTTTAGATCACATCAACGACAGCGAATCGGAGAACGGCTGGAGGAGCACATGCTTCATGGAACATGCGCATTCTCGTTATTTTCTTTACCGTTTATTCTCAGCAAAATAACACAATTTTATATTATTTCCATATCATTTATTTATTTTACGAAATGAAAGTATTTCTAAAACAAAATAAAAATCTGAAATTAACAAGATCACAGATGATGTCATATTAAACTCGAATAATATCCATCCACGAATATAAAGGTGAACTCATGACGCTGTGCGACTACAAATAAAGTAAACGTGATGGAATCCTTCGAAACATCGCCCAGCATGTAAGTCAATATAAATGAGAAAGCAAAACAAAAATATATCATTTATGGCGCTTTTCAATCATTATGTAATAGGTAAATTATATATATATTTACAAATAACTTGCTACACGTTACTTTTATTATTTTATTTGTTTAGTCTTTGCAATGCATTAATGAGAAGCTAAATGAAGTCAACGCGGATGAAGGGATGCGATTTGTTTTAGCATTTGTGACAATAATCGAAGGAGATACGGCTCTGCGATATATCAACTCAATTCAACATTATGGTAAGCGGAGGGGTGGGCTTACTTACTTATGTAATGCACAACGTAATACAGAACAGTAATATATCGAAAAATGGCAAAATGGAATTCGGAACACACGATATTTAAAGGCTAGATGCACATACTTAGCATATCTAGTATATTATGCTGTTTGAGTAGTTTATAATATGAAGTTATTACGAGGATACCTCAAAGTATGCACGAAGACGGTACAGCGGGAGTATGTGCGGAGGTCGATGCGACGGCGTACTGTCTAAGTGCATACTTTGAGGTAACCTCGTAATAACCTTATTATTATACATCTTTTCCTTCTAAGGATACATCATGGGAATGTCGAAATCCAAAAAGTTTAGAACAGATTCAGTGAACTTCTTTGTGTGGAGTCCGGTCAAACCCTGGTGGCAGCCATGTTTCTTTTTATTATTAGAGGACGCTTACGTGCGTAATCATTCCGTATTTGGAATTCGCATTTCCTAATCTGGTAGGATGAAAATACCGCAAAATTACGGCACGCTGTAACTGATAGCGTTATGGAGACAAATGTATAATAATTGTATATATATATCTATATGCAGGTCTGAAGTTCGCGAGGGCGTCAATGACAGAAGGAAACAGCCCTGTTGATTACCTGCGAGCATGGAACACTGCCTTATATTTGGGTGCAGACGAGAACCACGTGAAAGTAGCCCTTGAGAACGGTAAGTTAATAGGACAAAGTTACTGTCAATGTCAAACTACGTGTATGAGATTTTCATATTTTAAATACATCATTTCAGGGATAGCAGCAGCAGTTGTCAAGAATCAGAAAATAACGCCACCAACCGAACAATTACGAATTGTATTCGACGGCGATGCAGTGTTATTTTCGGACGATTCTGAACGAATTTTTCAAGCAGAAGGAGCTGCGAATTCGAAGAATATGAAACTGAACATGAGAATGAACCCATTGGGGAGGTAATTTTTTTTCAATATAATATAATATAATTTTGCCTGATATCTGAAACTACCAGAAACATCGATATTATTATAGTTATTCACAGCTCTTCAAAACGTATGATATAAACAAAAACAACATGAAATAATGTTGGCGTCTATTTTTAATCTGCTTAGACGGAGCAATAAAATTACTAGAAGGGTCGCGTATTAATTTGGCTTTTTGGCAGATACCACAAGTACAAAACAATATGCGTGAAAATTACCACACATTTAATAATAAATCTGATATTGTAGAAAGACGTCAAACAAAAACATCGTTCTGACTGAGGATGCTTTTATAAACCTTTCACTTAATAATTCTTTTGTTACAGGGCCCCTTGCAACTTTGCAACGATTCTTGGTAAAGTGCAGAATGTGCTGGTTTCTACTTTGTCCATTGACAACCCAATTCGTACGTATTTGATCACGGCTCGTGGAATGAATAGTGCGGGTAAATGTGCACTTGTTACTCTGACGTCATGGGGATTGCATATAAACGAAACTATATTCACCTCAGGGGATTGTAACTCATTTGTACTTTGATGACAGACGATGCTTCGTCGGAGCAGCAGCTAATAAGGGAATACCGTCGGCTCATGTTCCTACTGACTTTGATCATCTGGAATGTGAACTGCCTGTTTGTGATACTGTAGGTGATAATGAATAGTGTGATGATAGTGGCAAAACAGGTGGTGGTGGTGATGATGATGATGGCACAACAGCTGGTGGCGATGATAGTGGCACTTCGGGTGGTGGAGATGACAATGGTAAAACAGGTGGTGGTGATGATAGTGGCAAACAGGTGGTGGCGACGATAGTGGTACCTCGGGTGGTGGCGATGACAGTGGCAAAACAGGTGATGGCGACGATAGTGGTACGTCGGGTGGTGGAGATGACAGTGGCAAAACAGGTGATGGCGACGATAGTGGTACCTCGGGTGGTGGAGATGATAGTGGCAAAACAGGTGGTGGTGGTGGTGGTGGTGGTGATGATGGCGACGGTAGTGGCAAAACAGGTGGTGGGGATGATAGTGGTACCTCGGGTGGTGGAGATGATAGTGGCAAAACGGGTGGTGGAGATGATGGTGTGGGCGAGTATAGGGATAGTTGGTACAAGATGATGCTTACAGTATGATGGTTAACACACAACTGGTTTATTCAGAAAGACACTAAGCTATTAAATATACAGTACACAGGATGTAGTAATTAAAGTCAAACATGATCCAGATGTCAGGCGGCAGTTTAGCCTTGTATTTGATCTAGCTATTAAACTTGGTATCCGGGTTGTTACGTAATCGTAACGTAGACATCATGTCTGTTCCCGACATTCTCCGGTCGGCCGAAAGTAAACAAATTAATTTCGACAGTAAGGGTTGATATTGCGTTGTGTAAATTATTAAAATGATGACGAATAACAATCGGTAAATTATAACGATAGATAACGATAAAATAATATACTTAGTCTAGTAAACAATACTAAGTCGGGTAATAAGTCGGGTATATCAACATACTAAAAGTTCACGAAATAACGAAATTATTTCTAACGAATCACGATAACAAAAATCTAAGCTAATTGTTCACGGCATTCTACGTTATATATCGAGTAAAAATTCAAAGTCTTAATTGTCACATAAATCACTATGAAAGGTGTCCTGAATCTTCAACTTTGCAATAGCGGCAGCGTTGCGTTGAGGACGTTGTAAAACGAGTGGTATTTGTTTTCCCCTAGTTTCGTTGTCGGCATTCCCGTCATCAGATGTATTTTCAACAGCACTGAGTTCAAGCGGATAAAGTTTACATATTATATT